GAGTTTCGGCAGTTTTTTTGTTGAGCTTTGTGCAGAATTTGACCGCCCAACGTTGTTCGAAAGTATCCGCTATCGCGCGCCGTGACGTGGTCACAAAACACAGGTGCACTAAATCAGTGATACTGACGCCTCCAATGCTCGAGCAGACTGACCTTGGGCGCGCTGTGAAACTAAAGGCCTCCCCCTCCCTAACCCAACCGGAGGAGCGCGGGAAAGAAATATATTTCATGACTTTTGGGACACACCTTGTATAGTTGCATATTTTGCGGTCGTTACCTAGCAACGGGTCTACATGCCACAATATGTGTTACTATATTAACTGGATAACTCCATTGAGCATAGTTAAGCGAAGGACAACAGTCGCTTGGCTAGGCAAGAAATTGCCCGTCTTTTGTGGAATCCCAAGTTTCTGTCACCGTGCCAGATTAATCCACAAACACACCTTTTTATGTGAGGTCTATCTTATTATCTTCCAATGAATGACTAAATCTCTCAAATATTATTTTACTTTCGAGGTTTTCTTAGAGACGTTTTTGTGCATTTCACATCTGTTTCCTGCACGCTACAAGGCCGACACATGACCCGCAAAGACCGTCATCCCGCTGGTGCAGATGATTGCGTCACAGAACTCCATCAGATTTGCCTAGAGTTCGGCAGTACTTCAGCCCTGCCTGCAAGGTCAAGCCACGTGGTGGAGACCGACCCGCAACAGGATGTTAAGGAGAGTTACTCTGACCTTTGCCCGTTGCAGATTGCATCAGCTTCCCGTGGGACAGTCGTGTATTGGAAACGCGTTAGATGGTTGGGACTGAGGGCGTTAGGTTCCAGGCTAACCCCTTATCTCATAAATACTGCAGTAAGCCGAGAACACGAAGACCAATTTCTGCCGGAATTCGATTTCAAACCTCGGTTTCTCCGTGTATGAGTGGCGTAAGGTGAAGGGTTTTGTGACCACTAGCAGGCCGTGCCCGGTGCAGGAAAGCGAAATGAATGCGTGCCTCCAAAAGAGGGCACAGTATGTTCCTCCGAAACGTTGGATTTAATGGTTTGACCTAGCGATAAGCTCTACTCTTGTGTTCGGGAGGTGGTCTGTTCGAGTCGCGGCTGGGACACCGCCCAGAAAAAGAAAACGTGCAACCGTGAACTTGGTGCCCATTCGGATTTTCTCCGTTCGAGTTTTTGCCGTGCGGTCAAAACCGTATAGTGTGAAAAGAGCCTTACTTCGAGGAGACCTTCGTGTTTCAGGTATGCTGCTGCCAGTTTATTTCGTTGTTGAAGAGGAGGGCTTGTTCTACAGGCCAGCACATAAACCGGTTCAGCAATACATAGGACTATACTAAACCTAGGCCGCGCCACAGCTCAAGCGGTTAGTC